GATAACATCAAATCAAACACTTCACATGCTAATAAAACCATAAATAATCCAACAAATAAAACATCGCAATCTATAAACAACTTTTTTTAACCTTCGAACCGCCACTCGATTGACAACTACCATTTTGGTTTACGTATATAGGTATACTGTGGTATTTCATTAATATGCTGTGATGTGCCAACCGGGGCCCGCAACCCGCGCCGTCTGCGATGCTCCAACTGGGTCAGGGACACATCTCAGACGGTCTCTGTTATGTTAACCCTTCGCTTAAGGTGACCAATAGTTAATTCAATATCAATTTACTTTGAGCTATCTATCATACATCATACTAATATTATAAATGTGAAAGTTTAGATGGATGGATGGATGTTTGTTAGAGTTTGTAGCCTAAACGGCTTAACGGATCTCGATGAAATTTGGCATAGATGTAAAGGATAATCTGGATGAACACATAGGCTACTTTTGTTTTTTTTTTTTAAATTTAAACACGAATGGAGTCGCTAGTTTGTCAATAACATTTAACATTTCAGATTCCATTAACATAAAAATACAAAACAAACAATAATTTAAATAAATTTCGTTAATCTGATTATACATAAGTATCTAAAAAAATAACTATTAATTTCGTTGATTAATTGAGTCATGCCGATAACTTAAGCTTGGCTTCGTAAATACATTTATTTTCTGTCCGTCTGTATGTTTATTACCATGGAAGTGAGTCCGGATGACATCGCGAGTTATGCGAGGTCGTAACTTCTTGCATAATGTAAACTCAGCGTAAAGGAAAAGTATGTATGTTGATTATTTATTATTTAATCTGTATTCGGAACAAAATTGTTGTGTCGTATACTTTGTCACCAACTTACTATACGTCTCCAATAAGGCTCGGAGCTTACACTAAGTTAGGGTGACTAGGCCATAGTCAACCACGCTTCACTGCGGGTTGACTTCACACATATCTTTGAATTTATAGATATGTGGAGGCATCACGATGTTTTCCTTCACCGTAAGAACGTCATTCACATTGGTACATGGCGTGATTCGAACCCAAGATCTGTAGATACTAAATGTGCAAAATTTAAACGAAATTACAACGATTAAAGTTCCTTGAACTGCTTCGAGAAAATTGTTCGGCCGTGCTTCACCCGACGATATGGTGCACTGCCGCGCATATCATGGGCATCCATAATTTGTTTGCATTGAATAGATTTAAAACTACTATTTTACAAACTCACTCGAAGTTACTCACACAGTAAATATTTCCTCATTATAAAGGTACATTATTACTAAGTAAAATAAAGCTATTTTTGATAGTAGATTTAATATTTCGCGCCGATGGTCATTTCGATTTTTGCAAAAATAACTTAGATTAATTTCTACAATACTACACGTCTTACACAGTCTAGCATCACGAGGCAATACTTGCACTGAGATTTAATTTTTCTTATCGCCACTTGCTATTATCTTATTATCCGACTCGAAGGACCAATTCACCAAGTCCATATTACCGGTCACGTTTAAAGAGTGCGTGATCCTATGACTTGTTAGATTTTAATAATCAGTTATTTAAGTGATAATTGTAAATAAATTACCGTAAATATATAGTTAGCAATGACAATTTAAATGGTCAACATTTTGTTACAAAGTAAAAGATTAAATACTTCGATGGTGTGCTATTAAATAAATAAATAAATCCTTTATTATTTCACTTTAAAAATATACACATTTCATGAGAGCCTTGGCTCCTGCACTAGGTTCCCCTGTGCT